TTACTGAAGCATCGGTCCAATAGGAATACTGATTTAGTTTAACTGACCTGGCAGCACCAGCCTGGCTTTGGTGGTTGATTATTCATTGTCAGTAGGACAGCAGCATTGCCTCGTCACTCAGCCCTGAGCTGCCCTGAGAGGTGCCTGTGTAGAAATGGTTGCGCTATTAAGGGTCATGAACAGGTGGAGCTCGTGCCTGTCGCTGCTTGCTGGCAGGCAGGGAGCAGCTTTAGACAGCCGAGTCGAATACAGAATTAGGTCTGACTAGCACTGGGGGGAAGAGCGATGAAACTCTCCTAATCATCCAGATGACATCTTTCAACAGTGATTTTGCCATTTTCCATCAGGCAAGAGCTCCCAAGGCAAGAGTTTTTGGAAAAAACTGGCATGCGGGCTGAAGTGGCCTGTCTTTTATCGATCAGATGATTGCATCATCATTCCGCTCAACCAACAAAGGGGTTATGATAAGCAGGAAGTCTCTCTGATTGAATCTGGCTCTGGGAGGAGCGGAATAGTTCATTTAAAACTTTTCTTGGACTGCATTTGTGTTCATTAAGTGAGCACATTAACGTTCAGGCTGCTCCTGTGCCTGGAGCCACGGTAACTGCACATCAGGAGGGCATCGCCCCAGGCTTCCCACAAGGCCCTTTGTGGACTAATGTCAACAAATGCAAAGGAATGGAAAGTGCTTGAGGGTCTAGGTTAAAGGCCAGGTCTCTAGACCAGTGTTTCCCAACCTTTTTGCTCCCGCCGTTCTTGTCTGTTGGTTCCCAAGGACCGGATTGGGAAACACTACTCTAGACTGAATTACAAAGGCTCAGCATGGATGCCCTGATGAGCGTAATCACATTATTTAGCTTCCCTCTGTACCTGGGGGGAGGTTTAGGTTAATGGTTAGCAGTGTGCTGTCTATACCAGTACCAGCCTGATTGGGTTGGTGGTTTCAGACCAGGGCGTAGATTTGGGTATAGACAATAGGGACATGTCTCTACCAATATTGTGGATGTACAGTGCGTGTTGGGGGGTGGGATTTGGGGCTGATTTTGTCCCTAGCAATGTTGAAACAAACTTATGCTCTTAGTTTCAGGGCTTTGCTGGGTGAACACAACTTGTCCCGGGCATCAGTTCAGGCAGGCACACACCAGAGTGATAGGCGTAGCCATGGCAGCAGCTGCTATGACATGGCGAACCTCTATTGGGCTTCAGGAGGCTGCCTAACCATTTCTGCAAGGCATGATGGGTCGCGGTGTGGGCCGGGTCATTAGCAGGAGGGCCGCTCCACCTGCCGCTCTTCACTTGGACACCTCTCTGTGAGGATGGATGTGTGCTCACAGGTGTTCTACACCGAGATGATGAAGAGTCGCCCAGCCAGCCCTGCTGTGACAGTAGACCTGCCCCTGAACCTGGACACGCTGACCACTGTGAGGCTTCTTCCGCATCACCTACCCACTGTTTCCACTCTAACTCCCATCTCCCTGCAGGCTGTACTCAGTTCAACTTCTATGCAAATTACTTTATCACTGTAAGGTATAGATGAAAAATTGATATATCTGTGACATCTAGTGGCTCTCTCACTGAGGTTGTATGATATGTAGACTGTCTAATAATTTCTTTTCTCTTTGATTTCAGAGACAGTTTGGTGGAGAAGCAAGTTTTGTGAGTGCCCCTTCCACGGCGACCGTGATTATTGTCACAGGAGTGGACACCATGTGAAAACTGGGGTCATTACAGGCACATGGGATCCCGCCAGGAGCTTCGCTTGACCACCAGCACCTGACTCTCCTGTTCTCTACCTTGCAGGACGTTGAGATTGGGGATCTGCGAGCAGGCACCGAGTATCGAGTGAGCGTGGCGGCTTACGGCTGGGCGGGGGAGGGCCGTCCGAGCAAGTCCCAAGACATCAGGACGTCATCACAGGGTGGGTGTGTCTTAGCAAACACGGTCTGTGCAGAGTCAAGCTTCTGATTGGACTTAGCACCAAGCTTAGTGATGCTTAAGCATGTTGTCTGATGAGAAATCTTGGATCACAGCATCTTCTTCCTCACAGACACATGCATGCCTCCCTCTCCTCCATCACAACCCAAGGCGACAGCATTATCAGCTACCAAGATCGCGTTGTCATGGAGACAGGACGGGGACCATGGCAGTGCACCTGTTAATCACTTTCAGGTGGCCTACATCAGGTGGGTGGGAGCGGCTGAGGCTGACAGACCCCGTCCCTTGTGGCATCCTGCTGACTAGCTTTTTTGGATGTCACTGATTATTAGCAGGAATCTGTTGAGCAACTTCTGACTGTGGAAATTTGATGAGGATCAGCAACTTCAGGAGGCTTGGGGCTCTGCTGGGATCTGTCTGGGACAATCACTGCCTGGTGTCAGATGCGGTCTTGACTTCGCTTAAGCATCTCCCAGTATTCTCTGACAATTTCTCATTCAGTAAAGCCCGTTTGATGGTTTTTCTGCCCGTGAAATCTCTTTATTCTCACTTTGACTAAAAACCCTCACTGATGTTCTCGCTGGGCCTCTCTTTCTGATGGCATTTCCTTGTATGATTATTCTCTCAGGATTTCTTACCCAGTCAAAACCAGCTCTGATGGTCTGGACTCCCAGTGAACCCGTCTCCATTGATCCCTCTTCCAGGCCGGAATTAGACACAGAGTGGACGTCCATCAAGGAGCCAACTGAAACCAACTCAGTGGTTGTGAAAGGCTTGGTTCCTGATACGCTGTACCAGTTTGAGATTCGAGCAGTGAACCAACATGGAATCAGCCCTCCCAGCACCATAAGTGACCCAGTCTGGACATTCAGTGAGCATCTGTTGTGTGTATCCATGGGATGGGTGAGGGGGGTGAATGTACCTGAACTTCATGCTTGGTCCCTGGGTACATGCTCAGCGTTGGGTGATTCTCTCTGTGTTTTCTTTGGTCAGTGTCATTTGATCACATATGACTTCATGGACATCCTGAGTTCGATGCGTCCCTGGGTCAACAAGGGAGGGGCTTGCTTTGCACTTCTTTAACCAATCACAGTCTTCATGGTATGTGATCCTGGTCCCCACAGGTGCAGGGGACGTGGTCAGCGGTGGCCACGCCCCATCGTACATCACCCACTCACATGGTGAAGACGGCGGTGTTTTAGGTGTGGATGACTCCGATCAGGGCATTTACATCAAGAAGGTGAGGCCTGGTATTAATAACCCGCAGAGTAAAGCAAGATCAGACTTGGCTGCTGTTGTTTACAGGATTCCCTTGTGCTGCAGCTGGAGCCGTTTCCTGCCATCAGCGGCAGGATATGGCCACTCAGCTCGAGCACAGGGACGCCCCCATCCGAAGCCGGAAGTGACACTGTGACCAGGGAGCTAGCCACCAATGGTGTCGTCACCACCGCCAGCACACCCCCCACTCAGCCCTTCACCAGTCCCTCCCACACCTCCACCTCTGCCTCCTCCCTTAGCATATCCACACCCCTGCACCTTGCCCACAGTGCCCCCGTAACACGCAAGTGGACTGGCAGCGGGCCTCCCCTTCACAATCTGCCCTGCGGGGAAATCGTGTGTCCAGCAAACAGCTTCTGCATCAATGACCTCCATAGAGGGGGCTCACGGTGTCACTGCAGCTTGGGACGAGGAGGGGACACCTGTACTGAAGGTGAGTGCAGAAGGTGCTGGGGGGGGGGGGGGTGGACAGAGAGCATTCGGAGTGAGACGGGAGTCAGAGAAAGAGAACCGTCAGAGACGGAAAGTCGGCCTACTGCCTGTCACTCTCTCCTCTTCCTCTCCTTTCCACTAGAGGTGTCCATCCAGTTTCCCAGGTTTCATGGCTCCTCCTACTTGACCTTTGAGCCTTTGAAGAAGTCCTCTCAGGTGCTCCGTATCAGCCTCGAGTTCAAGGTGAGGGGGTGGTACCTTAATGTCAGTGACTGTCTTTATCCAGGGGGGTCTCTCACCAACAGTCTGCACCGTGCATGCGGAATGCCACTTGGGGTGATTGCTGTTCCTCACTTGCTCTCTCCAGACGGACATGGAGGACGGGATGCTACTCTACTGTGGTGAGAATGAGCACGGTCGGGGAGACTTCACCTCGCTCTCTTGTCCACAACAGGCTGCACTTCAGGTGGGCGGGGCCATGCGTCACATGTCTGACTCAGTTTAGCGGGTTTTCTTCCTGAGTGCTGCTAGCGCTGTGCCGTGGTGGAGCCAGGTCTCTCCCTGAAGCAGCACCTGGCTGACGTTCTGCCCCTTTCAGGTTTGACTGCGGCACAGGTCCTGCCAGGATCATGAGCCGGGCTCCTGTGGTCCCTGGCCAGTGGCACAGCGTCACCATCTACAGGGACGGCCCAAGCGGCTGGCTGGAACTGGATGGCAGCGGCCGTGTGCTGGGCCGCTCACAGGTGAGGGGGGCGGTGTGCAGTTGAGACACAAATATGTTCTGAGGGCAGAAAGTCAAATGATTAGTTCACGTTCAGATTGTAGAGTAGATGGGTTCAAGCAACTAGAGGGTGCAGGACAAGCCAATCAGATGACTTGGTCCTGCCTCCTCTAGTTGCATGGACTCACCTCCTCTACAATCTGATTGGTTATCTCTCTGAACCAATCATTTTTGTTCTGCCCTCAGAACATTTTTGTGCAAGTAAAACTCGCAAGAGCATACCATCTCCCATGAGCGTACCATTTTGGGGGAGTCACCACTGTGGCCCCTGTTCCTCTCCTAGGGGAACTACACCAAGATCACATTCCACAGCCCGCTGTATGTGGGGGGGTCCCCTAATGCGTACGGGCTAGCCAGAGCGGTGGGCACCAGCCAGGGCTTCCAGGGCTGCATACAGACACTCAGCATCAACGCCAAGACCTTGGACCTCAGGCCCTGGCCTCGGGGCCTGGCGCTGGGTGGCACCAATGTGGGTAAGTGCGTTGCTAGATGGGAATTCAGGGTCGTAAGTTCAGTGGCAAGCATGGAGTTTATACATCACGCTTCTGGGCCGGCTGAATTTACTGTAACAAATGGGGTTTAGAAATTCTGAAGGGCTGTAGCAGTGCAGGCACCTC